AACTTAATCTATCAATCTCAAAAGTAAAGTGAACAACATAAGTCTAGAGTCTAAACAAAGGAACGCAGGCCCAAACCAACATAAGGAAAAGGGAATCTACTCTAACAGCCTCTAGACCGCGCTCTCAGCTACTCAGCACCTGAAAGAACACAAATATATATATGGGACGACGCCCGGTCAGCGAATGATGCTGGTAGCCCACCAATACATGTGAAACATCATATGTAGATAGTTTATATATATGCAAAATCGTTTGCGAAACGGGATATAGTATATATCAATTCAAAGCCAAGATAGAAGTAAAACACAAGACTCTTTGCACTCACAATAAAGATAAGGGAACACATCCCAATACAACAAGAAGTAATAACGACTCGCAAGAACGGCTCAAGGCATAATCTACCATCACACAGTAGAATAACACCCGACATGCATAACACAAGAGAATAAGGACACAACCATTGGCAACACATTGCCTTTGTGACAACACATGTCACAAATAGAGAATCACACACAATGGCTACACAAGCCTTCGTGACATCACCCATCACGAACTGAGATGCCTTCCTTATGCCCGGTTCCAACCTTATGGCTACCCCGAACCTTATGTCTAGTTCCAACCATTACCTCCAGGACCCCTGTACATCCAAGTCCAACCTTTTCCCTCCTAGGACTGTCGTCCCCCACCAACAACCACCAACAAGACCACTGATTTCATAGTACACGAGGGTACCGATCACACACACGGCAACACATGCCACCCAAGAAATACGTGAACCCATCACTCAAGTTACAAACTCCATAATCGCGTCATGGCCACCACGAGGACCACTGTCGTACCTTGGTGACTAATGTCCCATACCATTAATCATGCAATCCAGGTATATCCACACACACCACACCACAACAGGAATCAATCAACGGATCACAACGAAGATATGAAACCATACTCAATCAAGGAATGGATCACAGTCGAACAACAACGATGATTAACACAAGCCATCATCAACAATAGGAAAGGACAAACAACACACAAGCTAGCATTTAAACACCGAACTAGCATACTTATCAAACGGGTAAACCAAACATAGTTCCGAAGAACACACAAGACTCATCACGGTTCAACGAATCACAATATTGAACACTTAGCACGATCCAAGACACCAAAACCTACATGGATTCCTACCATATAGTTCTAGACATACAAAACATCAAGAAGACACTCAAATAGTTCCACAAAAGAACATCGGGAAGTCAAAAGACCAAATACCGAGTCAAAAGAATCACGGGGAACAAATCCTCGCCAAGCCAACATATGTATCCCGCGGGTGGACCCACGGGTAGACCCCCACCCGTGGTTCTGCCCGCGGGAACACACCTCAACACCTGCGTTCCCCGCGGGTGGGGCGGCGGGTAGGCCACTGCCCGCCTTTCCGCCTGCGGGTACCATGTACTGCACCAAAAATATCCCTTCGGGGATTTTCAACACCAAGCTCAAATTCAAGTCCAAAACATGCCAAATCTCACCAAATACAACAAAATGACTTGGATCAAAGGAATAACCAAGCAATGGCATACATGAACCCTAATAACAAGCTCTAGATATGCATTTTCACAAGACAATGCATCAACAATCACATTTCCTAGCAAAATACATGTAGAATCCAATAAATCATCATATAGGTAAGAAAAATAGATTTTGTGGAGCACGGGTTACCTCTTGTCGACCAAAAACCTTCACTTAACACTTCACCAAGCTCCTAATAAGGTTCACCTTCCACACCCACTTCAAGAACACACCAAAAGATCATAAAGATTCTATCTTTAAGGAAAGACACCTTAGAAAACACTAAACACAAGATAAACATAGATCTTACCCCCCTAGATGCTCAAAGGTAGGAAAGGTGAAATCTTGAAGACAAACTTTGAAGATTGGGTAAAGCTCCAACTTGGCGTGGAAGAAAAGCTATCTAACATTTAGAGAGAAGGAGGAGCTCAAGTTTAGAAAGTGTAAGGGAAAGAATGAAGGGTGTCTTTTAGGTTAGCTTGCATTATCAACATAAGGTGAAATGTATTGATTACCCTTACTAAAATGAAGAGGTGTAAGGGAACAAGGGAACTACTCACAAAGCTTTTGGTACAACACTTGACTTTGGGTTGACTAGTCAATTACTAGTCCCCGACTATTTTGAATTTTCAGAAATTTAAGGAATTAAATCATCAATTGGATTAGGATTAATTACTTAATTAATCCGTTAATTGAATTTGGATTACGGGGTGTCACACTATTATTAAGGTAATTAATAACTTAATTACCACAATAATTATTAGTAAATTATATTAATATATGTGTAATTAATTCCTTAATTACAATAATAATTATTAGGTAAATATACTAATATTGTGCAATTATACTATTACACCTCATAAATAAAAAAATATATAGATATTAGCATAAAATTATCATACAAATTACGTGAAATAATGAGAATAATAATTTATTTTGTTCTCATATTATTATACCTAAATATAAATAAATAAATAAATAATTATATATATATATATATATATATATATATATATATATATATATATATATATATATAATCAAACAATTAATTATAATTACAAAAAATTCAACGACCCGTGTTTAATTCATTGTATGGGGCAAATATATGCGATGCAAGGACATATGATATAGACAAAAGATTAAAAAAATTCTAAAAAAAACAGAATAATATATGAAATAATTATTTTAAAATGATTAACATTACAATTGTATTACCCATTATTGAAAACTTCTTTGTATACGGCATTTTTAGTCGTACTTATAGATGATATAATATCCCCACATATTAAAATTTTCAATCTCCTTGATTTACTTACTCTTGAGACTGCTACATATATTTTACCATGACATATGATAATGTTTGCCATTGACTTTTATTTATTATCATGACATATGATAATATCGAAAATTGCTTTCTTTGAAACTTGAAAGGCAATCTTCCAAAACATAAAGACGAAGTATAACTCATTCAAGCTTATTGCCTCGACATGTAATTTCTCTTGCTTTATCATAAATTCTCTCAATTTCCCAAAGCACTACCGTCACAAAATGTATTTTAATTTTAATAATTCAATTATAATAATGACATTTCAATTTATAGTAATGGATTTTGATTTTTTTTAAGAAAAAAAAAATAAATTAAAAAAATAAATCATTTATTTTTACATATTAGACATTTATTTTACGTAATCACAGATACAAAAGACTTATCTTTCATCAATAGAAGGTAATGGAAGGATAAGTTGATTCTAATTTTGAAATATTGATAATAATAAACAAATGCTTTTATAATTACTTTTAATTTTGATACATAATTGATACATTAAGTTATTTGAATCCAACGGAATAATAATGTACCGGAGACCGAAGAACACAATTCCCTAAATATTATTGTTCCAAATAATAGAATCAATCTTAATACACTTAGAAAAAAAGAACAGATTTGTATATTACTGAATACTTGAAACCTATTGTAAATTAAATGTGATACATATTTAAGAGGAAAAAGCTACACAATACTTGAACCCTTCTAAGACATCTCTTTATTCTTCAATCCACCACTATGCCTCAACATCAACCTATAATAAAAGAAATTAGTTACTGATGGAATAATCACGGAGCAGGATCGGAGCAGAGCGATGCGGGGCGGGTTGGACCCGGCATCCACAGACTACCCGCAACGCGTGGCGAACTGCCCCGGGGTCGGCCAACCACCCCGGGGTCGGCCCAGCGTGGGGTCGGCTCGGCATCGGCCGACCTCCACGAGCTCAGCCACGTGGGCTCGGTCGAGCCCATGGTCGGCCTCTTGGCCGAGCTCCGTGCTCGGCCAAGGACTGGGTCCTCGCGTGGAGCGAGTCTCGCGGCACGGGCCCGTAGTGGCCGGGGGGTATATAAACACCCCCTGGTGTCCTAATCAATCATCTTCTACCTTCACACAATACTTGTAACGTTATTACACGTCCCGAACCTCTGTAATAACATTCTACTCTCAATTAATACAATATCATTTTCATACACACCCCTATTATTATCACTTTATTATTCATTTATCACATTCGACTTATATTCGAGTTGTATAATCCGGACCCCGGGTTAATATAATCCATCATTGGTGTTCTTGTTGAGAGCGGCTGTACAAGCTTAAGCGCTCTCCCTAATATCATTCGTCTACAGCGATGAAAAGATCCGGGTCGAACACCCACAACTCGCAGGGTTCACGCAACACACGCGACCTCTCCCTGGCCAACCACCCCAACGGGACCACGTCAAGTCGGCAGACCGTGACCGTAGGGACGGGAGAGGACCTCAGAGATCAGATCAACGGGAACCGGCAGGGGACGGCGGAGGACCTCCAGGGTCGGCTCACCAACAATCGCCCGCTCGGCGGGACGGCGCCACCCGCATCACGGTGGGGCTGCGACGGGGTACCCCGACACCTCCACCTCCGCCCCCTCTTGGGGGGGGGGGGGCGACACGGTGGTCCCAGCACTCGTACGCCCCGAGCACCCAGGACGCTTGTTGAGGGGCAAGTTAACTCGCCACAACCATCTGAGAGGCGAGGTGACGCGGAGGGCAACAGAGGCCGACACGAGCGACGGGAGGAGAGGAGGACTTGGCCGACCCGGGCCACATCCGCGCTCGGGCGGTTGGGCCCTCGGGTGCCAGCGCGGGACCGTCTAGGGCCGAGGTCGGCCGCGAACGCCAGGCAGGCGAAGTCGTCGTGTTTACGGAGGTCCCGGAGCCATGAACCTCGCGCTCTGGGGCCCCGGGAGCCGGCCCTGCTAGTAGAGCGCTCGGGGGAGACCAGAGGCCAGCCTCCAAGCTCTCAGCGCGATGAGATGGAACAACTGCACAGGAAGACGCGCGAGTTGCAACGCAAGATCGAGACGTGCCTCGGGACACCCTGGCCACCCCTTTCGCAAGGGACATCATGGCCGAGCCCTTGCCCTGGGACTTCCTATTCCTGGATATCAAACCCTATATGGGGGCGACGGACCAGCGGGATCACCTCAACAGATACAAGGTAGTTATGAGGATGACGGGTGTTAATGACGCCATCATGTGTCGCGGTTTTTGCACAACCTTGGACGATCAGGCCCAAGATTGGTTCGAGTCCTTGCCGGCGGAGTCAATCCCCAATTTTGCCGCCCTAACGAAGAAGCTCATGTCACATTTCGCGGGCAGCATACAACGAAAGAAACAATTCGCCGACCTATGCTACTTGAAACAACTCAAGTCGGAGACCTTGACGGAGTACCTGAGCAAGTGGAAGAAGGAGGCCATGGGGGTGACCAATTTTGACGAGAGGTCCGCCATCCCATTTTTCATCAACAACCTTCGCTACGGTCCTTTCCACAGCGACCTCGTTTGGAACGAGTCGAGGACGTACACGGAGTTGATGGATCGCGCCGCGCGGTATGCCAATACCGAGGCGGCAGAGAAGAGGAAAGAAGAGGAGGAGGGGCGCCGCAATCCATCAACTCCGTGTACGTCCTCGACTCGTTCCAAACGAGGTCGCTGTGGAAAGGACCGTAGCGGAGGTTGTTGATGAAAAATGGGATGGCGGACCTCTCGTCAAAATTGGTCACCCCCATGGCCTCCTTCTTCCACTTGCTCAGGTACTCCGTCAAGGTCTCCGACTTGAGTTGTTTCAAGTAGCATAGGTCGGCGAATTGTTTCTCTCATTGTATGCTGCCCGCGAAATGTGACATGAGCTTCTTCGTTAGGGCGGCAAAATTGGGGATGGACTCCGCCGGCAAGGACTCGAACCAATCTTGGGCCTGACCGTCCAAGGTTGTGCAAAAACCGCGACACATGATGGCGTCATTAACACCCGTCATCCTCATAACTACCTTGTATCTGTTGAGGTGATCCCGCAGGTCCGTCGCCCCCATATAGGGTTTGATATCCGGGAATAGGAAGTCCCAGGGCAAGGGCTGGCCATGATGTCCCTTGCGAAAGGGGTGGCCAGGGTGTCCCGAGGCGCGTCTCGATCTTGCGTTGCAACTCGCGCATCTTCCTGTGCAGTTGTTCCATCTCATCACGCTGAGAGCTTGGAGGCTGGCCTCTGGTCTCCCCCGAGCGCTCTACTAGCAGGGCCGGCTCCCGGGGCCCCAGAGCGCGAGGTTCAAGGCTCCTCAGCCTCATTAAGACCGTCGCCCATCACGGTCACGCCGCGATCGGGGTCCCCGTCTAGCCCCTCTGCGACACCTGACCCCGCTGACACAGCCCGTGAGCGTCATCCTGGACCACGCGGAGGACATGGGCATCGTGTCGTTCCCCGATGAGTGCTTGGAGGTCTCCCTCAAGGCTGACTCGAAGAAGTACTGTCGTTTCCATTGGCAGCGCAGGCACGACACGGACGAGTGTATGGTCCTCAAGAAACAAATCGAGGAGCTCATCCAGCGGGGGTACCTGGGCCAGTATGTGAAGAGATCCGGGCAGGACCACGCTAAAGGCCCCGACAACGCCCGGAAGAAGAAGGACGGCGCCAGGCCATCCGTCTCTGCCCCGCGCAAGAGGGAGCTCGGCCAACTCACGGAGGATGAGGAGACCGAGCCAGATAGCCCGCCAAAGAAAAAGGTCATCCACGTCATCTTCGGAGGCCCGGAGGGAGGAGACACGCCCGCTGAGAGGAAGAGGTGGGCGCGGAGCCTATACATGGGGCAGGTCGTCCGGGCACTCCACGAAAAGAGGACACGCCGGGGAGCCCATAACATTCACCGACGACGACCTCCCGGACGGCCCCCTGCCCCACCGAGACGTGCTGGTAATCAGGCTGGAGATCAAGGACATCATTGTCCATGGCGTGCTGGTGGACACGGGGAGCTCCGTGAACGTCATGTATTATGACACCTTCACGCAACTTGTTTTTTTTCCTGGAAGCAGCTCTCCCTGGTACGGACCCCGCTGTCTGGTTTCATCGGGGACTCCATCAAAACAGAAAGCTCCATCATCCTCGAGGTACAAATCGGCACCCCACTGCACGTCAAAAAGTGGGAGGTGGAGTTCGTGGTGGTGAAAATCAGTTGTGCCCATAATGTCATCTTCGGTCGACCTGCCTTGGAGGACCTTTGGTGCATCATTTCTATGGAGCACCTCTGCCTCAAGTTCCCCACACCCACAGGAATGGGTGTCGTGCGGGGGGACCAGAAGATCAGCCGGAGCTGCTGCTTGAAGGCATGCCGCCAAATAACAAGGAAGGACCTCTAGGTACACACAGTAAACGAGAAGGCGCTTTAAGAGGAAGAGAAGCGACCCCGGGCCGAACCCGCGGTGGAGACAGAAGAAGTCGTCTCGGACCTCAGCCGACCCGACAAGATGGTGAAGGTGGGTACAGGCCTCCTGGCCGACCTCAGGGGTCGGATCGTGGAGGTCATTCGCAACTACAAGGACGTATTCGCCTGGGGTCCCGAGGACATGCCGGGCCTCAGTCGGGAGGTCATCACACATAAACTGGCGGTAGACCCCAAAGCCAAGCCGGTTCAATAGCGGAAGCGCTACCTCGCCGCGGACAGATGAGAATTTGTGAAGAAGGAGGTCGACACCCTCCTCGGGATTGGGCACATAAGGGAGGTCCTATACCCGGCATGGCTCGCGAACGTGGTCCTCGCACCTAAACCACCTACGTGGAGGATGTGTGTGGACTACACGGACCTCAACAAGGCATGCCCCATGGACCCCTTCCCGCTCCCCAACATAGACCAACTGGTGGATGAGACGGCGGGATGCGCACTCATCAGCTTCCTAGACGCCTTCCGGGGGTACCACCAAATTTTCATACACGAGGATGACGAGGAAAAGACGGCGTTCACCACCCCCGAAGGGATCTTTTGCTATCGGGTCAAGGCCTTCGGGCTCAAGAACTCGGGAGCCACGTACACAAGAATGGTGGCCAAAGTGTTCAAGAAGGTCCTCGGCTGGAACTTGCAAGCTTACATCGACGACATGATTGTAAAAAGGACGGAGGCCGACCTCCACATAGCCGACTTGACCGAGGTATTTTCCATTATGAGGCAATTTGATTTATGTTTGAACCCCAAAAAGTGCACCTTTGGGGTACACGGAGGGAAATTCTTGGGGTACATGGTCTCAAAGAGGGGCATTGAGCCCAACCCCGAGAAAGTCAAGACCATCCTAGAGATGGAACCCCCGAGGTCCCTCCGCGAGGTCCAGCGCCTCAATGGTCGGCTGGCGGCCCTCGATCGATTCCTCTCAAGGTCGGCCGAAAGGTCCCTGCCATTCTTTGGGGTCTTCAAGAAAAGCCAGGGGTTCAAGTGGTCGGACGAATGCTAGAGAACCTTCGATGACCTCAAGGCGTACCTCATGTCATTACCCCCCTAGCCAAACCGGAGAAAGGGGAGGCTTTGTACCTGTACCTGGGCATCTCGCAAGTCGCGATCAGCTCCGTGCTGGTCCGGGATGATGCGGGGACCCAACGCCCGGTGTACTACGTGAGCAGAGCGCTCCGAGGCGCAGAGCTCAGGTACTCACACACGGAAAAAGCAATCTTCGTCGTGGACGCCACGACCAAGAAGCTCGGCCATTACTTCCAGGCACACCCCGTGTGGGTCCTCACCAACCAACCCCTCGAGGCAGTATTAAGGGCCTCAGGGTCGGCAAGCAGGTGGGTCATGTGGTCCATGCGGCCGAGCTAATACGACGTCCAGTTCAAACCCCGACCCGCGATCAAAGGGCAGGCGCTCGCCGACTTCATAGTCGAGTGCACCGCCCGAGAGGCCACCGAGCTAGCCCGAAGCGATGAGGAAGATTGGTGGACCCTATCCACGGATGGTTCGTCCTGCACCAAGGGATGTGGCGGAGGGGTGGTCCTCGTAACCCCGGAGGGGTTCCAGGCCTACTACGCCCTTCGTTTTCACTTCAAGCTATCCAACAACGAGGCCGAGTACGAGGCGCTGCTGGGAGGCCTCAGGCTCACGTTGGGCCTGAGGGCCTCCAAGGTGAAGGTGCGGTGCGTCTCCCGACTGGTGGTCGGACAGGTGACCTGTGAATTCGAAACCAACGAAGAGAGGATGAGGAGATACCACGACGTGGTACTCCAGGTCCTAGGTCAATTGACCCTCTACGAAATTTTGCAGGTACCCCGAAGTCAAAACGGGGACGCGGACTTACTCTCCAAGCTCGGCCTCGGCACCTAGAGATAGCATAGATCGAAGACCTCCACAGATCCAGCCTGGAGGCCTACCCAGTCCTCCCCATACAAACTCGGCCCCCATGCTGGTTAGACCACCTGGTGGAGTTCAAGAGAACGGGTACCCTGCCAGCAGACGAGGCAGCCGCCAAGTTAGTCAAGAGGAGGTCACCAACATACGTCCTCCTTGGCGACACCATTTACAAAAGGTCCTATAACGGCACCCTCCTCCGGTGCTTATACCCAGACGAAACTAAGTCCGTCAAGGAAGAGATACATGATGGCACCTGCGCAGCACACCAAGGAGCCTTTGCCATGGCGGGGAGGGCCCTATTGCAAGGGTACTTTTGGCCAAACATGGCCAAGGAGTGCACGGAGTACGCCCAGGAGTGCCCGACCTGCGAGCACTTCCACGCAAAGCTGGGTCGGCCAGCAACCAGCTACACGCCCATCAGCACGGAGATCCCGGTCTCATGGTGGGGGATCGACATCGTCGGGCCCTACCCATGGGATCCGCGAAGAGGAAGTACATAATAGTCGCCATAGACTATTTTACAAAGTGGGTCGAGGCGGAGCCCCTCGCCACCATCACAAGCACCCGGTGCACGGAGTTCATACGAAGGAACATTTTTTTCCGCTTTGGGTCCCCATGCAAATCATCTCCGATAACGGGCGGCAATTTGAAAGCAAAGAATTTAAGGCGTTCTGCGACCAATGGTACATAAAACACACCCGCGTGGTGGTGATATACCCGCAGGCAAACAGATAGGTGGAGAACACCAACAGAACTATAGTGGACGGCATCAAAACAAACCTGGACGCAGCCGGAGGAACATGGGTGGAGGAGTTGGACACCGTCCTATGGGCATACCGCACCACCCCAAGAAGAGCAACCGGGGAGACACCGTTCGCGCTAGCATACGGGTTCGAAGCACGGGCCCCCACCAAAGCCGTGACGCCATCCTATCGGGTTGCGGTGTACGACCCCGACCTTAATGAGGAACACCACGCCGCCGACCTCCATCTCATCGACGACAGAAGGGAGGTCGCCATGGTCCGTGCGGAGAATTAATAGCGTCAGACTAAGGCCTACCACGACAACAGAGTCCGACCCCGCTATTTCCAAGTCGGCGATTACGTCCTCCCGAGGAGGGAGGCAAGCCGACCCCTGGACGAAGGCAAACTAGCCAAGAAGTGGGAAGGACCATATGTGGTCGAAGCCATAGTACGTCCGAGCAGCTACAAGTTGAGGACCCCGAAAGGCAAGACGGTGGACAGGGTGTGGAACTCGGAGCACTTGCTGAAATTTTACCAGTAGAAGCTCACTTGTACGGCCTACCCCCTCCCCAATAACAGGTCGGCTCCCCACAATAATGTTTGTTTTCATTCGTAATGGA